TTATAAAACCAGACTTAAATCCAACTTCTTTTTTGATTGGCATCGAAAAAGCGGTAATGAATTCTATTAAAATCGAATTTCCACAAACAAAAATTCAAGGTTGTTCCTTCCATTTAAATCAAGCCATACGGAGGCATATTCAAGAATATGGTTATATTGTAATGATGCTGTGTTTGCTCTAAAGCCACGTCCACACCTGAGCACGCGCAGACCGAGCATGTGTGCTCATGTTGTGCGTTCTACAAATTTGCATGATTTTGACGCACAGCGAACGCGAGCCGAGTCGGTCGGCTCGGCGTGAGCACACATGCCCGGTCTGTGGACGCGGCTTGAGAGTTGAGAAAATTAGCTGCTCTTGCCTTCGTTCCAATAGAAAAAGTGACTGAATACTTTGAAGGTCTATTAGAAAACGAAGAATTGTCGTGCGCTAAAATGACTGCGCTGAATTGTCACCGATCCAGTGGGACCGTTACGGCGTGCGCACCATCTACCTCCCTCCAGCGACCGGCACTACGCAGTCCACCACGACAAAGTGGCGCAGATCGTCGGCCGCAGACCGTTCGTCGCCGTCGGCSGATGCATTTTCAGCGAAATCCTCGCGGGCCGTTTCCCATTCATCGTGAATAACGGGCAGACCGGCCATAATATTATCAATACATTGTTACGACATTGTTATGTCGTCCGTGCGTCTCGGGTGACAGCGTCGGCGGAAAAACAAAAGCGTTTTCCGCGAAAACCGTCGTCGCGCGCGCACTCCGCAATGCGTATTACAATGACATCGCTATCGCTCGCCGCCGGTTATCGCGCGCTCAGCTCTTCGTATGACCGGACATGCGGTGCTCGCACAAACAATAGCAATAATACTGAGCGACAATGATGGTGGCTCTGGTACCGTACCGTGTTTCAAACGACGCCGCCAACTAGGATTCGACGATTTTTTAAAAAAATGTTTCGCTCTTCGTTTTTCTATTTAGACCCAACGTGGCAAACGTAATCTACATGGACGTATCGTTATGCGGACAGTAAAACATAATATTTTCATAGACCACGTTTGTCTATATTTGTATTATTGCAATTATCTGTGTTAATGTGTTACCCACATAACTTCTGCTTATCGGATCTACAGTGAGAAGAGTTTAGATTAGTTGATAGGAGGATGTGGATTTTTCGCTATTTTTAAWCAACGTTACGACAAAAGAAAATTGTGTTTTTGCATACAGAAAATTGGAATTTTTATTTTAACAATAAATTATTATAAATCAATAGACGAAAAAACCAAAGGGGGATCTTGACTGACTTCCTTTCCCAATTCCGGATAAGAATGATATCATATTATATTATAATATTATGATCATAATAATTATTATATTATATTATGGACGACCGACTCAAAAATAAATCGACACCGATATGTCCGATTATGTTTTGAATTTTTTTCTCAAACAATAATATTCCCTATATGGTCATATACACATATACATAACATATATAATATTATAATATCCATGAGTACGTGAATATTATGATAAATATTGACGTTATTATATTACACTCGATTATAAAACGATAATAATATGACATAACGTGTTCTCGCCGATTTGTTATTGAATTACTTTTTTCAGTATACTTACATTAAACACACAGACACATATATTATTTAGGTAATGTTATATATACACAGCCGACGGATGACGGTTAAGTTTCTTTTATCGTTTCGATTTTGTTTTCAAAACTAGAATCGCAATTATTATACTATAATATGGCGGATTTATAAAAAACGCACGTCTTGTGCATTTAATATAGTTACAATATACATGTATAATACTCAACTGTTGCGATTAAAACATAAATTATTAWGCATATTGACTCATGATAGATATGTGATATAATTGTGTAATAGTTATTGTTTTTTTCGCCTTATACTCTCATACTTACTACAATATTCAAACGAGTACCTATACTTACCGTTTATAATTGCCCTTCTCGATAATTTCGTTTCGACGGTGTTTATTTACAAACTATTACGTCCACTGAGAAATTAAAACATCTTAACGTGAAATAAATTGCAATCGTTAATATATTGTATATAATATAGTCATTATTCTTAAGTAACGTCGTAGTATTATTGTGGGATGGATCGTATTAGTATTTGATTTTATAATATAGTCTATATACACGCGTTGTTGATTCTTTTCCCTCACACCAAATGGTCACAATGCATACTATTATTTTGTACTCTGTATATTATTAGAAACCGTTGACGCGACGATATTTTTGAAGTAACTCCGAACAAAGTGTTTCAGTACATTGTCGGCCTACCGAATATTATCGTTATTATTGTTTGGGGGGGTCACGTTTATAAAGAACTTATCGGACGCGTCAAAAAACAAAAATACATATAAATTATTTATCGTATAAATTGACAAGTCATAAATTTCACGTAGTGTATAAATGAAGCGTAGGGATAGATTGTGTACAATGTAGTGAAAGATAAAAAAAATCTTACCAACGCCCAATAACACTCATCGAAATCGATCAAACGATCGTCATGGTCGCTGCCAGGCGCCTGTTTAAAAWAAATCCGACCAAGGCGAAAAAAAATTAAAAAAATATAAATAAGAATAAGACTAATCAAAAATAATAATTATTGTAATAGGTATATATACACATTGTAATGTAGGCTTTAAAATATGTACGCATAAATTTAATATATGATTTTTATTTTATGTTTTATTTGAATAATAATTATAATAAAGTAAGTTGTATAATACATAACCAACCGGTCTGCATTATTATGCAGGGATAGAGGTGGGAAGGGCGGTATACCGCCGAGTAGTATTGTTTACAAATTTAATTATTTAAAAAATGAATTTAAAACAACAACAAAAAATCGGTTTTTTTTATTAAAAATCAAAACTGACGACGGACACGACGACGACAACAACAATATAACCGCTACAAACCGTCAACTCATCACACTTTACGATCCAAGGGCTGGTTGTTTTTTTCCGATGCGATTACAACTGGCGCGTATTGTGCGACCGAGATATTATAACAATAAACGACGCTGCCGTCGCCCGTCATCGACACATAATCGTCACATTTATATTATAATAACGATATTACAATCATAATATTATTATGTCGTGTTACTCGTATATGTATTATCATATCAATAMYTGGTGATTTTTTGATTTTGCAAAGAACTCTTGTTCTTTAAAAATAAAACATTTAAAGTTTTTCAAAATATTGTTTTTACAAATAATATACGAATAAATATAAATTTATGTTAACTAAAATTTTTTTTACCGTTTTAAAAGTTTTTTATTTGTTTTTTTAATAACAATATACATTTTTAATTCCAATAAAGCAGAATTTTTGAATGAGCGTTTACAATTTGAATTTTGTGGTATGCCTCCAGTATACTTAATGATTACTACTTAGATTCCCTATACTTTAAATAGTTATAATTAAATAATGAAAGCTATACTCCTCCAAAATTAAATATATAAACATTRAAATACTTCAAACAATATTCTGCTTTGGAATATTATGAAATTAAAAATGTGTGTTGACATCCAAATAAGTAAAAATGTGATGACATTTAATATTTTCCACAGTAGTATTTTTAATGTAATAAAATTATAATAGACTTTTGACTTGCACTACATCTTATGCCTTAGGTCAGGGATGGGCTACTGGCAGCCCTCGAGCCTTTTTTATCTGACCCGCGCTACATTTTCAAATTACTTCATATAATTTTAGCGATTATCTGTGTTTTATTTTATTTTATTATGTTTTTCGATAAAATGTGTATATAAATTCTTATCTAGTTTTAAACCGAAACTAAATTATTAAATGTCTAAATATATATTTACAATGGCGTAGCTAACATAGTATTTATTTCATTTTCGGTTTAGTCATATCCGTACTGCCGTTAGTAAATTTAATGGACCTTTTTTTTTTTTGCTTTCTCCTATGCATTGCGGCCCGCTAGATTTTAAAGTACTTAAAAGTGGCCCGCTAGTTACTTTGAGTTGCCCATCCCTGCCTTAGGTTATAGCTAATATTCTGAAATTTTAAATCTGTACAAAAATTAATTATTATCTTATATATTTTATAAAATTAAGCTCACAGGAAGCACCAAAAATTAAAAGATACTCAAAGGCAATACTTCCGGGCTTATTTAATATGCGTAAAATATGTGACCCTTATTATAATAATATTATAATATTATTGTTATGCTGTGGACGTTTATGGGACTTTTCCTCGGTCGCTTTGCAAGCCGGAGTACTACGCGCGATGTGAGTACCAGAATAAGATGTCGTAATCGCGGTGAACGAGCGTGAAAAAAGTCAATTGGCCACTCGTCGTATTGTTGTAATATAATTTATAAGTATTGTTATTATATGCACGAGACAATAAGTGAATATAGATGTATAATATTGTCTTCGTGCGGTCTCTTCGTCCGTGTTCTTTAATCTCGGATTATGGGCCGCGCCGACCAACGGTCATCGTCGATGTATCATTAATTATTATATTTTTTGCACACATACATACACACACACAATCGCTATAATATGTACGCGCAAACCACAAATAAAGATAAATCAAAAAAAAAAATACGACTGAGAATATAATATAATATCAGAGGCGCAACGGTCGTTGAGAGCGAAAGACGATGAAATTTTGCGCAAACCACTCATTTATGTACTTATGTTCGTAATGTGCGTATATTTCATTGAATTTGACACCAGACTATATTATTATATATTATTGTTGTATAAAACCGTCATTTTATGAAAGAAAAAAAGTTTAATGTATATATATATATATATATATAAGACCCACCACACCGCCCCGCATGTATATTGTCGTCTAGATACATAAAATACATATATGTATATGTAATAAAACGTAATAAATATATGTACATTATTATTACAGTTATTATCATCATACGCTGACCTAAGTGAATTTTTTTATTCTGTTGCGCGCAGGTGGTCGAAACGTTTCACGTCGACGTCAAGAAAAACCACGATCACTGGAAAGGCATCACGCTCGATTGGCTTGAGCTGGCCAAGTACATGCCCAAAGCGCTGGACGTGCCACTCAGCAAGTCTTATCTGGCCAGTTTGACTTTCAGAGACGTACTGCACGCCGTGTACGTCGGCTTACAAAACTTGGCAGTGGGTCTGGAACAAGTGGCGTGGGACCAGGACCGGGAGATGCTCCCGTACGCTAAGTACTTCAACGAGACCACATTGAAACTTAGAACTGTAAGTATTTGTTTTGTGTAATATACWGTATAGTACTATAGTTTTTAGGGAATATTATATTATGTTAATAGTGGCCACATATATTATTATGCTGAAACAGTAAACCAACGTAATCGTAGAAACACCATCTCATCGTTTGAGTAAAACGTAAACGGTTTTAAGGGCTAGTCGAAAAAATAACCTCGGAAATGTTTTCTTTCTCTCACTTGGAAAACATTCAGCTGAGTATGCCACGAGCCGAGTGCAACGATGTTGAGCATCTCATGAAATACCTACAACGTTCATAATCGTAGTAAAACGTTACGTTATCATAATGTTTAGGGTAAAAAAACATAATTTAAAAAGTTAATAGATAAGTTAGATTAGTTGCGTGTAATTTAAAATTGAAATACGACCKGCTGGTCATTGAGACTGTGCGCGAAACACCGAAATTATATTTATATTATATAGGTGCAATCTGTTACGGCGTTACCGCTCTAAAAGTCCTTACTTATTTTTATATAATATTAACGTCATAATATGACGTTGGAAACAGTTTGGTCGAAAAATGTGTGATCGATAAATTCGCTAAAAAATAAAACATTTTTCTTGACGATGATATTGTATAATATACTATATATATTATATTTAATAATTACATAATAATATTAATTTCATATAGGCATGTGATCACTCGCACGTACACATGACTCTATATGCGGTACCCATTTTAATAATAACGTGATTTTTACGACGGACCATAATGATATTAATACGTACCTATAATATGATGACTCTCTGTTATAACATTATGGCTAATCGATAATAGTACGATATTATTACGAGTATATGGAAATAATTTACACGTTTGGATAATAGCAGTCTTAGCAGTGTTTTTATTTTTTTATTTTTCCTATTGCGCTACCGGAATCGTCGTACAAAATACAAGCAACGCTATAAATATATAATAATAATATTATACACCCATTAATTAATAGTTACACCGATAAAATAATGTTAATTTTCGACGCGTGAAATTTAACAAAAAAAGTCGTCCTGCGTATTTAGCTTATTATTATAATACGTTTAGCCATTTAAATAGCACACGTTGTGTGCATTATAAATAGTTTACCGTTCAAGTAGGTACGCGTAATCACCATGATGGCAATAATATAATAGCGTAGATTCGAAACCATTAGGTTAGATTGTAATKTTGTAAGTCGTTACGAATTATTGTCTGCAATTTATAGTTTACTGTTATTAGGTACATACGCACATTCCTAGGTGGCTAGGTTTTTATTAACACAAGCCGCGAAAAAATGTAATCATAACATTACATTATACATTTTAATCGATTCAATTAAATATTATAATTGGCGAGTCTATGCGTATAATATTATTAGGTATTATATTTTGCACGATGAGCGTACCGAAGATAGACGAAAACGCCGCGTCTCACCTTTGTAGGTCTGTTTAAAAATTTACCGAGTCCCACACCGCTGATAACATATAATTTTGAAATGCCTTATTTATAACACGTCTAATATCTATTATAATATAGGTACGTCCGTCCATCCGATGGACAATCTATATTACCGTTTATCTTTTAATATTATAAAATCAATACTAGTACGAACCTACCTATAATGATACATATTGTATTGCTCCGAGCGCCTTTGCCTCGAGACATCATAATATTATTTATGAGGCGTTTAAAATCAGCTGTTCTTGGCTCAGGCGGGGGTTGCAGGGTTGCTAWTAATTATTATTACAGTTTTAAATAATATACGAAAAGCGTGTTCTTTCRAAAAACTTAAATGTTTGTACGTGCGAGTATACCCGTCGCAGTAGGAAAAAAATAAATTATACCATCATAATATATGTTACACGTCTCGCCGAAAACAGTAAGATCCGGCACCCAAATATTAGCTGCCAATTGCCATGGTTTCATACATTAATAATACAGTATTTGACCTACCGCCTGTGCATTCGTCTACAGTTCTACACGTCACTGCTTCGCAGGTGATTGTCCGTATTATAGTCTGTCATTATCGTATCATAATTTATAATATTATTATTATACAGGTATATATTATAATATTAGTTTGAACCACGACAAGGTTCACACCGGTTTTACTTTTTTAATATATTTAAATGTCCTATATTGTTGTTATTTACATTTTATTTGGAACTTTGCCCGATAATCAAAACGGTTATAGTTTCATGATCACGAGTACGAAGTCTTAYGGTTGATGACGATGATGATGATACTAGTTCAAAATAATGTCTGTGAATAAAAATATACCTGCAATATTACGATACGCAGCATCGTTATCTCATTACTCGCGTAGTCTTAAATCGATCGTCTTAAAATAACATACATAATTCACGGTCGATAATATAATATTAATAATAATAGGGT